TGATAAACATGTACTGCTCTTGTAATTGGAAAAAATTGCCAATAATTAAAAAGGGAAAAGAGAAAGTCTAATCTAATTATGATCGCTATTTGGGGCCGGCCCGTGGCTCACTCGGGAGAGTGCGGTGCTGATAACACCAAGGCCCCGGGTTCGGATCCCATATAGGGATGGCTGGTTTGCTCACTGGCTGAGCGTGGTGCTGACAACACCAAGCCAAGGGTTAAGATCCCCTTACCAGTCATCTTTTAGAAAAAAAAAATAAATAAATAAAAAAAAAAAAATAATAATAATTATGATCGCTATTCTTCCCTATCAGTCACTACAAACAGCTCAGGACTTTCTGGGTACCCTCTGCCCAGGACTCTCCGGTCACCCCTCAGTCCAGAACTTGAACCTGCATCAAGCTCTGTGGGCAGAGAGGCAGCCCTCATCTTCTCCTGCTTATTTTCACTCTCTGGTGTTTTACATTTTTTTTAGTTCTACATTTTTTTTTTTGCATATTCTTTCCATGTCCTTCTGTTCACTCCCCAACAAATTCTTTTGCTCTTGGTGTTCTACATTTTTTTTTTGCATATTCTTTCCATGTCCTTCTGTTCACTCCCCAACAAATTCTTTTGCTCTTTTTAACTATTTTCCACAAAATACTTTGTCTCTTAGTGAAGGTAAGGAAGAATTGACTTTCTTTGAAAGAATTCAGCCCAGGAGCTTTGTAATTTGACATATTAACAGATTTCTTTTTTTAAGCATTGCTCTTGTATTCTAAAAACCAGTGAGTGTCTTTTTTTCTTGGCAGGAGAAGACTGAAGGTGGCAGGCCAAGTATCTATAAATCTGTCACCAGCAACACTTCGAAGGAGATGACAGCCTATAGTGACTACCCATTCCCTGACCATTTTCCTAACTACTTGCACAATTCCAAAATCATGGAGTACCTCAGGATGTACGCCAAACACTTTGACCTTGTGAAGCACATCCAGTTCCTGGTAAGTGTAGAGACCACCAGCACCTGTGAGACCCTCTCTAGAGAGTGGCGACCTGGGCCAGGGCAAAGTGCAGTAAGGCATCCATTCGGCCTTGGGGTGATCCCAAGACCACGGGTTCACTTTACGTACATTTCCAATAAAGGCAACGAGGGCTTCTCTCCTCACTTCCTTTAGGAAAAAAGTAGGGTGGCTTGGCTGACACACCAGATGGGACATCTGATGTTGACTCATTATGAGTACATTCAGAACCACAGTTGGGAACAAGCAAGACTGTGTCTCTACTTAAAGAGGTCTCCATAGGGAAATCAATTTTAAAGGAATTCCTTTATGAAACCCTGGAGGAGAATAGCTATGACCAACCTTACTCACTAAGGCCAAGAGCTCTTGGAAAGGAGGGCACTGGGAAGAGCGGTCACGAGTCTGAGTCTGTCTCATCCCCAGTCGAAGGTGTGCAGTGTGAGGAAGCACTCCGACTTCTCTTGCACAGGACAGTGGGAGGTTGTGGTCGAGGCTGAAGGCAAGCAGGAATCCTGCGTCTTTGATGGGGTTATGGTGTGCAGTGGCCTTTACGCCCATCCCTTCTTGCCCCTCCAGAGCTTTCCAGGTATGTCAAACAGAATGCTAAGGCACTGGTTTTGTGGGTTTTTATCATTGTTGCTGTTGTTATCTTTGAAAAAAGTGTATAACTCTGAAAGTTACCTCGTTTTCACAATAACTATTAGCTTTTCTGATTATAAAGTAATGAATGCTCTTTGAAAGTCCATTCAAATAATGTATTATGTTATAAAATTGAAAATAAAAATTACAAAATATCTCATCAGCCCTACTTCTGGGCTATTTTAAGAGCAAAGTTCTACATTTTACCACAATTGGGAGGTTGTTTTTTGTTGGTAATAGTCTGCAACAAATAGTAAGATCAAAGCTACAGAAAATATTTTAAGATTTGGCTTTATTTCTGAAGGTGTATATGTATGCATAGTGTGACAAATACAAATAGCTTTGTGCTAGAGTCACCATGCATCTTAGTATAGACTGCAATGCCATTGTTTACTATTTGGAAGCTTAAGCAGCCTGCCTGTAACGAGCAGTGCAGGGATGATTTACCTGCATGAGGTCTCCCCGTTCATCTCTAGAAGTAGGATGTATACTCAGTTTTTTTGAACAGGGATGAGCCTGAGAGTCCTTTGGGGTTCTCAGGAGATGCTGGACTCCCCCCCACCCACTTCCATTGCTATGAGTGTCTTTGTTTCCCAGTGTATGAGAAGATAGAGAAGGGTATAATTGGTCAAGAGAGGTCTACTTTTTATTTAGTTAGTTAATTAGAGATTTTAGCATTCCGGTATTTATTCATTCAACATTAATTCAAGAAATGCCTATTGAGCACCAGTTGTTAGCCAGAGGCTCAGAAGAGAACAAAACAAAAAGCCTCTGTCCTCAAGGAGTGTGCATGGTAGATATGTTGGAGGCAATGACTGCTGAGGAGAAGCATTTAGCAGGAAAGCAGGAGGGGTTTTAGCAATAGACAGTTGTGCTGCATGCAGTATTAGGTAAGGTGGCCAGGCAAGGCTTCGGTGAGAAAGGAACATTTGAGTAATACCCAAAGCAGTTGAGGAAGTGATGCAGTTATCTGGGGGAAGCAACCGTGCTGAAGGAACAGCATGTGCAAAGGCCTCCAGTGGGCGTGTGCCTGATCGAGCCAGTGTGGCTGGAGTGAAAAGAAGGAAGGAGATGATGCTAGACAGTGAATGGGGGACCAGATCAAGAAGGGCCTTTAAGTCCTTTGTTTGGACTCTGGCCTTTGACTTTGAGTGAGGTGGGAGCTGCTGGGAGGTTTGAACTGAGCATGCTGCAGTCAGTTCAGCAACCTTGTTAAGATAACTGGGGAAGAGGATGGTAATGATGTGAGCTGGGAAGCCAATGTGGAGGCTCTTGCAGTAATCCAGGTGAGAAATGGTGGTGGTGTAGATCAGGGTGTAGCAGCGGAGACAGAGAGAAGTGCCTGGATCTTGGATATAGTTTGAAGGCAGAAGTGAGAGGATTTGCTGATGGATTAGATGTGAGATGTGACAAAATAGGAAAGTCAAGGATAACTCTAATGTTGTTGGCCTGAGCAGTGGAGTTGCCATTTCCTGAAATAAGGAAGGCTGTGGGAAGAGCAGACTCTTCCTGCAGGAGGCAGGGAGATTGAGGCCACAGAATGACAAGGTCCCAGAGATGCTCATTGAAAATGGGACTGGATGGGATTGAAGGCATTCAAAGGAGAGAGTTAAACATTTTTCAGGCAATTACTATATCATAGGATCATACAAATGGACCTTTATACTATACCTATGCAGTAGGTGAAATGATTTCCACTTTACACATTACAGATGTAGCTGCTGGTAAGAACTGAGATTCATGCATAGGCTTGTGTGACCTCAATGTCTTCTCCCACAGTGACTCACAGAGCAAGGGGCTCATTTTGGAATAGAAGAGAAATGGTGATAGAGTAAGGGTGAATGAAAACACAGTAACTTTTAGGTGTCAAAGTACTCACCTAAGATTTTGTTATTTCATACAAATGAGAAAAAAGGCTATTTTCAGGGAGTAGGAGGGACCATAGTGGGCCAAGGAGAGGAGACATAACTGAAATAGCTGCAGTAAGATCATTGATGGGGAGCCTATCCCACCCATAGACAATTGAACTTGGCACAGAGGGTGTTTGGGAACAATTAAACCCATGCAGGCATTCACTAGGTGAATATCCAAGAACTGCTTCCAAGAGAAAGCTGAAATTTTGGAGCAGATTCTGTAGGGAAGAAGGAACATGTCAAGGACAGGACCACAATCAGGACGCAGGGAGGCTGTCCAGTGTCATGTCATATGAGGAGCAAATGAATCTTATATGTTCAGACCCCAGTGTTGTTGAAAAGATGAAATGCTGCAAAATCAATCAGACTTTGTTGCTTTGCCATATGAGGTTTTTCTTTAAGTCAGAGCAAATTTTTAGGCAAAAATAAGTTCTTACATCCTCTCAGCTTCTGAACTGTGGGTCATGTTGGAGTATTTGTCCCCAGTAGGGAACGGAGCAATGGTGCCAGCAGGAAGGATGTTCTGGGCCCAGGAAGGGAAGTAAACAAACTTGTTCATCCCAGCAAAGATGAAGCTTGGGTCAGGAAAACAAGCTAGAGGAAACCAGATTTAGAGCAGTGGTTGTAAACAACACAGGTAACGGATGAGGAAGATGTGTTGTTAAGTAAAAGCTGAGCTCCTCCTTGAAGTCCTGGAGGATATAGAGAAGTAAAAAAGAGGCAGAAATGAGATATCTGAGTTTCTCAGAAACCTGGGGGTTTGTTTGAGCGAGGAATTTGCAGTCTCAGTCAAAACTGTAGCAGGATTTATCCTGCCTGATGATGTTGGGCAAGCTCAGTCACGGAACTGGCATCAGTAGACCAGCAAATGAGATGTTTAAATAAGATGGCCTTTGAGTTCAGTAATAAGCTTTAGAACATGCCAGAAGTTACATAAAATAAAATAAAATAATGACCACTACTTGAACATTCTTTTCTTGCCCACAGGGATCAAGAAGTTCAAAGGTCAATATATCCACAGTTGGGAATACAAGTGTCCAGAGAAATTCCGGGAGAAGAAAATCATTGTGGTCGGCATTGGAAATTCTGGAGCTGATTTGGCAGTTGAGCTTAGTCACGTAGCTGCACAGGTTTGGCTCCTAAAATTCTCTGCCCATGGCTCTGAGATGTAAGCATCCCATGACACATGCATAGCGTGCACCCACACCGCTTCAGTCCTGATAGTTAATTACCTCTTCACACCTCTTTTCTTGGTAGACATCTTAATAATCCATTTTTTTAAAGTGCTAATGGAATAAACACAAATATTTCAAACTTTAGTGACTGCCATTTTGGGTACATTTATCAAAGTCTGGAGGTTTTATCAGCTCAGCCAAGAGTTTCAGAAATGAACATACCAGAAGACCATTTTTAAAAATTTCTTTATTTTTCATTGACATGACATGATACCATCTCCCAACTCTGACCCCTTCCGTACTTAGATTCTAAGGACACAATTAACAAAGTGTTCTAGATATGGTAATGCTGCAGCTAGCAGATGATGGGATCTTATGTGTCAATTTGTTGATTTCTAGTCTTCTTGCGTTAATTGGNGAATAAACACAAATATTTCAAACTTTAGTGACTGCCATTTTGGGTACATTTATCAAAGTCTAGAGGTTTTATCAGCTCAGCGAAGAGTTTCAGAAATGAACATACCAGAAGACCATTTTTAAAAATTTCTTTATTTTTCATTGACATGACATGACACCATCTCCCAACTCTGACCCCTTCCGTACTTAGATTCTGAGGACACAATTAACAAAGTGTTCTAGATATGGTAATGCTGCAGTTAGCAGATGATGGGATCTTATGTGTCAATTTGTTGATTTCTAGTCTTCTTGCGTTAATTGGTTTTTCCAGAATTTGGAACTTTAGAGATTGCAGGCATCAAGCACTGCTTGGGAGAAGGTGCAAAGGGTAAGTGGGTGGGATCCGGAAGGAAGCTTGGGCAGGTCTCTGGAGCTATAAGCAACATGCCAGGTGTACCGGTATGTGTGATTATGTGTGTCTGTGTGTGACTATATCTGTCGGTCTACTTGAATTTGAGAAGAGAGGAGCACTTCAGGCTAAAAAGGCAAGAGAGCTCTTATCTATTTCTCATCATGAGCCAAATAAGCTGAAGGGCTGAAAAAAAGCATACTATGAAAGGAAATATATTTCCAGGCAGTTATTTTTTATTTGCCTTCTCTTTTAGGTGTTTCTCAGCACAAGACGGGGTACATGGATTTGGAACCGGGTCTGGGATCATGGGATGCCCATGGACACTATCCTCTTTACTCGTTTCAACTCTATCTTAAGCAAATTATACCCTACATTCTTAATCAACAGATGGGCAGAGAATAAATTAAATGTTCGCTTTAACCATGAAATTTATGGTTTGCAACCTCAACACAGGTATGTTCCAGGATTTTTTAAAAAATAACTTTGCCTCTGCTTTTTGGAGTCAGTAGGTCAGACTTGGAACATAGAGATGTTTATTAAAGTCTTTGTTTACCACCTTGAAAATAGACTTCAGCTATCCTAGGAAAAAGTTAATCATTGTTTCCTTTTTCATGCTTCTTTCAATCATTCTATTCACCTTAGAGGAAAGAAATTGAGTCAGGAATATGGTAGCAGCTTCAGCTGTCCTGCACCCTGCTTCATGCTCTCAGGCTACTATTCACTTCTCCTTTAGACTCTGAGACCTTCATGGGGTGGGCAAGTAGCAGATGATGTATTATGTCATAAAAATCAACTCCATTTTCCCAGGCCAAAAGAAAGAATCAGAAATCTGGTAATATGACATAAAGCAATAAGAGGGGAGACTTAGGGAAGGGAGAAAATAGAAAAGAGCACTGGACCTGCCATCCTCAGCCTTGGCTTAACAAATCTCTAGTGCTTTATTAATGTATGAGACCTGCCACATGACCTTGCATTCATATTCTTTCTCTCTCTCTCTCTCTCTCTCTCTCTCTCTCTCGGTATGTTGGTAAATGTAATCCCTATCTACCTATCCATTGTGAGGCATAAATGGGGAAACACATAAAATTGCCTCTCTGTATAGACTAGATAAATTCGATGAATATTTTTTGACTTCCTGCCATGATCAAGTAGGGTTCTGGGTCCCGGGGGTAGAAGATAGCTACGCCAGATAG